TATTTTCAAACTATTTTATAAATATATGGAGTAAAGTCAACTGGACATTTCAAAATTCTGAATAACAGTTATATGGGGCTAAGGCAAGTCTTCGCCCGATTTTATCCATTTTAAGCACAAAGATACACTGTTACTAGAAGAACAAGATTTCTCAATTTCATTGAAATACATAGATACATATTAGTCCAGTCAGAATTCGGAATTCAGATACCCAGCTGTAAGTCTGTAAATACTTGTATATTGACACCCTAAAAGTTGTCTCAAAACCTACATATGGTAGGGTGTACGTAACTTTTAAATTTTAAGGTCAAAGGTCACAAAAATCGGTTTTTGGCGCTTTTTTTTGTAAATATCTCATTTCTTATGGGTTTTTTGCTATTGGTATTTGTTATCAATATTGTAGAATACAAAATTCTCTACAAATTTTGTTTAAAATTTTTTTTCATACGGTGAACCGTTTTCGAGATAGAGGGCTTAGAGCGCGCGGTCACAGCATCACTTCAGGTCAACCGGTGCCTCCGATCAAAAACGCGCCATATATAGTTGATGAACTATAGGTAAATCAATGATTATAAATATTTGTCAATTTTTATTAACTATTATATTATATTTTATAATTTTTTCCTAACCTATCCACTTTTTATTCAGTATTAATTTATTTAACAACACTTACCTGCCCATGAAATTGCAGAATTGGTTATAAAAATATAGGAATTATATTTGAATTTAAACCTTATTAATATTAATAACTTCTTACATGATAAAAATAAAATATAAAAAATATATTAAAAAATATCATTCAATACATTTATTTTTATTAAAAGTAAAAAAATGGAATAAAGGGTACAAAAACTACAATTTATAATTTTAATCATCTTCTTCCTCTTTATCGTCGTCTTTCGGCTGTTGGTAAATTTCAAACTGGTCTTCATTATCGTCTTCAACGACATTTGTTTCAAGTTCTTCCATGATTTCGGGGTCAAAAGTTCCATCTTCGTTAATGTCGCTCTGATATGGTAGAGCATTGAGACAAGCTTGTAATGGGCAACAAGCTAAAGAGCAGCAAGCCCGCTTTCCTGCATCCGCATCGCGAACCACAACCACTCTTGCAGTTGCAGAAAATTGTATTTAGCAAATGTTCTGGAGCAGGTGGTAAAATTGTCATGATAGGCTCCAGAAAATCGTTTCGCATTGCCCAACCCCATACCTGGGGTTCCAAATCATGCCCTAACCAAGTTTGAACTTGATAATATACACGTTCGAAATGTTGATGAGCAGCTGCACTTGTTGGTGGAATATTTGAAAGCTGCACAAGTTTATTAAGTTTTGTAGACTTGACGTAATGCATATAACGAAGATGATCGAGACTTTTCACAGATTTCGGAGCATTATAGACTGCCAATAAGGTTTGAGTTCCACTCTCTAATAATCTCTGGGCCGAACAATTTTCTTCCTCAAATGCTGCAGCCAATTCATCAAAATTGGTCAGTTTCTCAAAAACTTTTAAAAATGTTTTTTTTCCCTTTTTAAAAAGCGCAGAAGTTGTGTCACATCCACTTAATGCGTGCAGAAATAAAATATGTGTTTTGGAATGAGGATAATTATCAAAACTTTTAGTCGAGTATATCTCCGTTTTTACATTGCCTTTCCCAATTTTTTAAAGAAAATTTCTTGTTCGTAAGACAGTGTACGCCCAATTAAAATGATGAGTAAATCAATATCTTGTCCTATTATTGACAAATTTACAGATTTTAAAGAAGATGTACTTAATTATTTTCTAATTAAAATGTCATTAGTGTTAATGGGAATATAATTATAGTAAGATTTAAGTTTTTCCCTTCATTATTTTTTAATTTTAGGAAACGGTGATCAGTATTATTGAATAGATAAAGATTTAAGGCATGAAGAAAATGATAAAATATAATATTATAATTAATAAAAATTGACAAATATTTATAATCATTGATTTATCGATAGTTCATCAACTATATATGGCGCGTTTTTGATCGGAGGAACCGGTTGACCTGAAGTGATGCTGTGACCGCGCGCTCTAAGCCCTCTATCTCAAAAACGGTTCACCGTATGAAAAAAATGTTTAAACAAAATTTGTAGAGAATTTTGTATTCTACAATATTGATAATAAATACCAATAGCAAAAAACCCATAGGAAATGAGATATTTACAAACCTTGAAATTTAATAGTTGCGTACACCCTACCATATGTAGGTTTTGAGACAACTTTTAGGGTGTGAATATACAAGTATTTACAGACTTACAGCTGGGTATCTGAATTCCGAGATTCTTACCTAATTTAAGCTTAAATGACTGGACTATATGTGCTATAAAGTCAAAGTTAAAGAAAATCTTTACATCAGGTATATGGGAGCTAAGGAAGTAGTGATCCGATTCAACCCATTTTTGACACAAGGATATATTAATATCAAAGAAAAATCTGTCCCGAAGTTCAATAATATATGTCACACATTCAATGATGTATTCGGCAAAAATTCAGCTATATGCACGTAGTCCACATTTTTGGCGTCTGGGTTCGTAGCAGTGATTTGATTACGCCCATCTACGAACTCGTTCTCACTTTTTTGCCAAGAAACAAGTTTCACTTAAGTATCTTAATTTTTACTCAAGTTATCGCTTGCACAGACGGACAGATGGACGGACGGACGGACAGTCACCCGAATTTCAACTCGTCTCTTCATCCCGATCATTTATATATATTATATATAACCCTATATCTAACTCAATTATTTTTAGGTGATACAAACAACCGTTGATATACGTTTTTTAATAATTAACTTTTAAAATAAATATTTTAACGATATTCATAGAATACAAGGTTACAAGAACTTTGACATCATTGAACCAACATTGTCATACTTACAGGTAGACGAATTAAAAAAACAAAAATTATTATTTATGTAATGGTTTTTTTTTTATTTTTGCGTCCAAATGTTTTGGATATAATTATTGATACTAAAATAGTTTCCGCATTTATATTTTCTAATAAATTTTCTACATAGGGACATCAAAAAACATTTTACCTAATGCAGTGACAAAATTTTTTTTTTGCTTTTTAGATCACGAATATATATAATTTTCTTATAAGATCTCTTATAGAGATAATTTTTTGAACCAAAAACGCAAAAATAAAAAAAAACAGTAACATATATAAAATTTTTTTGTTTTTCAAATTCGTCCCACTGTATGTCGATGTTGGTGTAATGACGTCAAGGTTGTCATAACCTTGTATTCTATGAACGTTATATAGGTATTAAAACCGTAAAACAGCAACTTCAAACAGGCACTCACGTTTATTCAAGATAATTTAAATTTTTGGAACATTAAATATTTATATATCAGCTTAAAACTAATGTCATTTGCTACAAATAGCTACTTCAAAGTGAAATAAAAAGACTTCGAAATAAATGAAATCATTCGGTTTCTAGAACATGCCAGAAAGAATCCGGATTTTAAAACTCGTAATACTGTCATATACTGAAGTGATAATGCAATTAAGGTAGAGGAAACAATTGAATAATGATTATGAGCACACATTGACATTTTGAAATATGTAGTTCAGTCCCCTGACCCACAGCATTTCCAGCTTTTGAAATATTTTTAATATAAAACTAAATCGGGGAAACTTCAGAATAATGGGAAATTTAAAAAATCATTGTGGGCAACTCTCAAAAGTTTTTAATAATTTGGTATCTTAAATATCTAAAATATATGCAGCAGATATTAAAATTAGAGATTTTCTACAAAATATTACAATAAACTAATTCAGGGCAAACTTTTAAAATAAGCAATTATGTTGTTTAACTATAAGTGAATACATAATTTAACGTAATATATTTTATTAAATAAGAAAGTTTTCCATACAAGGAAGCAAGTGTGAAAAATTCAGATCGATATCTCAAAAATTGACTAGTGACTAGTTCGGGTATATACAGACAGACAGGCAGGCAGGCAGACAGACAGAGGGATAGACAGACAGAACAACATTTAAATATGTATATACTTTAGAGGATATCCGATATTTCCTTCTGGGTGTTACACACTTCGTGGCAAACTATATTCAGAGTTAAAAAATGTACTCTAAATATTTGTAATTTTACCCGCCTATCTTTGCATACATATACATTATATAAATAATGGTAAATTAATAATACAACCCTGTGCAAATTTTTTGTAAAGAATTTTTAATAGAAAAAGGAAATGAAATCGAAACAAGAGTATTAAATTCTCCAATTGTGATTTGAGGTTATATAATTTCGAATGTTTAAAATCTAGATGAAATATTCTTGAAATAATATTGAACATTCTAAAATCAATCAAGAACTCGATTTGAGTTACTAAACTAATTTGTATCAAAACTGGAAAACTTTTAAAATAAGGTTTTGATGTTATCATTTTCGAACTTACCAGACTTTCGATCCGAATATCATATTAATTTGAAGGTGATTTTTTTGCTCCCTTTTGGTAATCTGATGTTATTTATTGTAAATATATAAGTAAGATCAAAAGGTGTAGTGATAGGCAGAATATATAATATATTGTAACATGATTTTATACATCAACAATTTCTCCTTCAATAACTAAAGATGCCGGAATGTGCTTTGGCTATTATCAAGTAAGGAAGCCTAAATTCAGACTGAATCAGATATTAAATACTCTTGTATGAATTAAAGACAAGAGAAATATATCAAAACGTTATGCCCGAAATCGGTACTGCGAAACGATATTATAATACAATACATTGTATTGTATTGTACTGAGTCATGTTACAATCATTAAAGATTTGCTTGATCGGACAGACGCATAGATAAACATACATCGTTTATTTATCTACATATATGTATATCTTTTTTGATTAGGTTGGGATGTTACAAACAACCGTGAACCGGTGAACAAAAATATATTCTGAGTAACATGTTGCATGTATACCAAGGTTTAATAATAAATAATATTTTGTATGATTTCAGGTCGATATACAGATATGTGCGAGTTTCACCATACTACACGAAGTATAGTACAACTTACTTATACGTATGTGTTTCTGCTAGCTTTTACAATGATGATTGCTGTTGAAGCTACGGGTACCGCACCGACAATATTGCATAGTAATAGTGATAGTAGAGAGAAGTTCACAGCAAAAATTGGAAGCAATGGGTTTGTCGCCGACCATTCAAAACAATCTCATTCAAGAAGAAAACGTTTGGTGTGGATAACAGATGATGGTCGACTTGCTTTACCGCCAGGCACTGCACTTACAATTACGCCGACAATTTCAATGCCATTAGTCCGACATCCTCCAGAGGGATTCTTTTCGAATGTATCCATTAGCTTCCCATTGACAAGTGAGTATTTTCAAATATTGCTAATGAAGGGCTGTAAAGGAACGTGATCGGTTACAAAAAATGACAGTTTTTAATGTTTACTATTAGAATAAGAAACACTTGTACCTAGTATACAAAAGCAAAATACTAACAAACAATTACTTGCTAATTTAAAAAAAAAAAAATAAATACTTAAAAGCTATATGTTTATGAAATACATTGGCTGCTACTGTTCCCTTGCTAGGTCGGAAGACTTCTTGCGTTTCAACCGGATTTCTCGCCCATCAGTTGCGATGAGTCTAGAAGCATCCTCATTAATATGCTGTCTAAGCCTCAGTTCGTAAGACTTTGCAATTTTGATTATTTCCTTTACCACTGAATTCACGCCTAGATCACGGTGTAGGTCAGCAGATCTAACGTACCAAGGAGCATTAACTAAAGTCCTTAGAACCTTACTTTGAAAGCGCTGAATGCAGGCAATAGAGCTTTGACTTGAGCAACCCCATAATTCAGCTCCGTAGGTCCAATTTATAACTTGATTGTATATTAACAACTTGTTTTGGACTGATAAACTGGATCTCCTGCCAACTAGATGGTAAAGTTTAGCAAATTTCATATCATCTCACTCATTTTTACATGCTCTTTCTAGCGAAGCTTAGCATCTAAGGTGATATGTAGGTGCTAATATATGATGTGGTATAGGAGTACTATTTATATAAATTGGACGATATGCCGATTTTTTTAATGTAAAGTCGACGCGAATTGATTTGGATTTGTTTAATTTGATCCGCCACTTAGATGCCCACTTGGCAATTGCATTGACTGCTGTCTGCACTCGTCGAGCAGATACTGTGGTTGAATCTCCAGCTGCTAACAATGCTGTGTTATTTGCAAATGTCGCTGTTAAATAACTAAAACCCGAGGAACACTCGCTTCTATCGGTTGCAAGTTAGAGTAGGCATCCTCTTGTTTAATGCGGTAATATCTATCTTTTAAGTAAGAAGCAATTATTTCACAATATTGTTTGGGCGACATGCATTTCAGTGCCAAACTTTGTCAAAAGCTTGAGGCACGTCCGAACAAACATTATTTTTATCCATTGTATTTCCAACGAAATTAAGAATTCGGTGCACCTGATCAATTCGTGAATAGTGGTCACGAAAGCCAAATTGATGTGTGTATTGGTCTCAGCCTATTTATGAGCACATTCTCAAAGGTTCTCTTTTACTCAGGTTTGTTTGTATATATAAATCATCAGGATGATGAGAAGATTTTAAATCCGACTGTTTGTATGTCTATCCGTCTGTGCAAGCAATATCTTGAGTTAGGATATCTTAATGAAACTTGTTACACATGTTCCTTGGCAAACAAGTGAAGACCAGTTCGTGGATGGGCGTAACCGGTCGTGGCACAAAACGCCGTTGATCGAAAACATATAAAATGCCATAACTACGCACTAAATTAAGATATAATTTAGTACTGGGAATTGCAGTAGGAAGGGCCACCTGAGGGATAAAAATTTTGAAAAAATGGGAGTGGTCCCGCCCTCTAATAGGTTTAATGTACATATCACCTAAATCACTTAAGATACTATAACCAAATTCGCCCAGGATAAATCCCTTAAGTACCCCTACGACTGTAATAATTAATGCAATCGTATGATAACCCCGCTCTCTCCCCATATAACGAATCTGTTAAAAACTACTAAAAGCGCGACAAATCAATAACTAAATCCGCCAGGGACATTAAATTTTGCAGCCAGGATGATTCATGAGAGATTTATAGAGGTCAAAATTTGACGGTGGGCGTGGCACCGCTCATATTTAGGTGACATAACCTTAGACCTACTCGACCAAATTCGAACATAACATTATCTTCCCATATAACACAATTTTAAATTCCATATGATTATTTCACTTTCCAGTGCACAAATCAACCACCAATGATATTCTGATGAATCTTTGCACAAAGAGTGTCTTTGAGGTATACCATCTGAAGTCTAAAAATTGTCAAAAGCGGACCATAATTGTTCAAGCTCCTACATACCGAATATTTGAACCCCAGTGCGTATGGCTGACTTATTGTAGTAAATATCGGTCAAATTGTGAGATATATTAATGAAATTCAGAGAAAATGCTTTTTTGATAATAGTTTACCCTTGAGTCAAAAATCGAGTCAATACTTCCCTTAGCCAACTTATACCTAATATAAAGATTTTCGAACTTACAGTTGACTTTATTCCACATGTAACGGTCAATGTAGGAGTTATTTTAATGAAATTGAGAGAGCTTATTTTTCAATTAAGAGTGTATCTTGCCTTAATGCTCTTACAAGTATAACTGATTCAAGATTTTGAAATCAAAATAATTATATATAATATTATTAATATTATATATATAAATAAAATTATATTAAACCTAATCCCTAATATTATATAATGAAATCCAATCTTTTGGTTGACGTTTTTCACATCAACTCTACATATATGTTAAATTTAACTTCTTCGGTTGAGTTTATATTACATATGTTTCATCTCATTTGAGGATGATTTTAATATAATTTTCGCTGGCGATAAGTAAAATACTTGTATAGTAGTAAAACTAAGTGGCTCTATGACCTTCAAAATAAGTTAATATGATACCAAATTTAATTGTAATAATAAGTTAAGTTAAGTAATCGTTCACTATTTCGTCTAACAATGAAGTTGAAACCCCTTTCGCTACATTTTTAGTATTGCCCACACCTGAAGTTAAAAAAAATTTTGAAACGAAGTGCGTTCGAATCTTCACTGGAAACTTTTATGGAGCAACATTGCACATACCCATATGTGTTTTGCTTATTTATTTGAAAATGCTAATTTTTGTTTTAAAACAAAGTATATAATGAACGAAGACTTTTTTAATATACATTTTCATAATTTATTCAATCAAAAACAAATTTATAAAAAGTATAGATATAAAATGTGTAAATATATTTTCCCTAAATTAATTTAAATCATAATATTAATCAGTTGCTCAATTCTGCAAAAAAAATCACAGATGAACATGTGACTAACTTTGGAAATTGTTATATGCAACAAACTGTTCCCTTTTATTTGAGCGTGTCCTATGAAAAGACTAATTGTACCCGATTAACCACAAAAATATACTAATAATTTCCAAACGTTTATGGACTATGGGAAATATAGTAGACATTATTTTTATAGCGAGAATAAGTAGACCAGAATTGCGGCCACATCTCAAAAAACGTTATTTTGTATCGTTCTTCACTTTTCAATGTTCAACTTAAGTATTATAGAGCTATCGAGACAAATAAGAGAAGAGAAGAATTGAAATACGATTGACTGTCGACCCATCCGTCTGTCCGTGCAAGCTGAAAGGCAAATTGCCCATCAATGTTGTGCATTCAAAATGTCGGTTATCTTTTTCTGCAGGTTTTTTTCTAACAGCTTAAAAACTGCATTTTCCCTTAAGCGTTTAAGTACACACATGTCACTTTGATGCACCATTTCATCTCCAGTCCATTGTTAAACATTTTGAATGCCTCTTTTGCTGCAATTTTCTCTACTTGGTCATCGGTAATGAAATCATCATCATGAGAATCAACGATAAATTTCTCATTGATTCAAGTAGATTCTCATTGATTAATCTGATCTACTAACTGATGATGAGAGTTTTTCTCTGGACACTTTAAGAAATCAAACTCCATACTTCCCATGTAACGCAACATTCCATCCGATTCTTTCACTTTCCACTATACAAATCATGCACCATTGATTATATCGATAAAACTTTGCACAAAAAGTACTTTTAAGGTATGGATCTCACATCAAAAAATTGTCAAAATCAACAATAACTGTTCAAGCCACCAGATACAGAATAACTGGAACAGAGCGCCTATGGCTGACATTTTACCGAAAATATCCGTCAATATGTGAGATATGTAATTGAAATTGAGAGATAATTCTTCCCTGACAACGATTTGTCTGTAGTCCCATATACCTAATAGAAAGATGTTCAAACTTCCGGCTGACTTTATACCGCATATATGGTATGTATCGGCTAATATATAAGTTAGTCGTAATACCTATAATAAAATTGAGTGAGCGTGTTTTTCTAATGACGGTGCATATCTGTGCCTAAAATGAATAAAATCGGGTAAAAACTTGCCCCAGCAAGCATATAATTAATATCGGTTGTTTATATCAACTAAAAATAATAGACGAGTTGAAACCCGAGTGACTGTCCGTCTGTGCAAGCTTGAGCAAAAATTGAGATATTTTAAAACTGTCGTAAATCAAAAAGTTTTTAAAATCAGGTCAATACTATCTCTATCTCCCACGTACGTAATACGTAACGCAAGTTGCAAGAGTATGAAATGTTCGGTTACACCCGAACTTAGCCCTTCTTTACTTCTTTAATATTAAGTTTTGCTTTCACTTTAAGGTATAACCTCGTCTTTGACCTTAGCAAATTGCTAGAATATAATATGTTCAATTACATCCGAACTTAGCCTTTACTTGTATTTAATGCTTGGTTGCATAGATTCCCGATATATTTAATTGAATGTGACAAACTATTATTAAATGTGAGCATCCGCACAAACTTAGTCTTCTTCACATGAAATAATTTGAAACATACAAATTTACTTTGCATAATATTATTGTATTTTATTATTATTTCTAATTTTTAGTTGATTTTGACAAACTTGGTTTAACGGATGAATCAAATCCCTTGGGAGACTTGCCACCTATATTCACAAGGCAATTTGGGCGTTCAACAGGTCATGTGCTTGGAGAATACGTGGCTCGTTATCTCAATTATAAAACTAAACGAGATTTGGCTGCACAGAGAAAACCTTTAGACAAGGAAACTCCCGGCTTTAAAATAAAAATTAATTCAGAAAATGTAGGAAAATTAGAGTTGCCACGACTGCCGGAACATTTTAAACATGCATTTCATGGTGGCGAAAGGCATGTATACCATGCACTTGCATATATCGTGTTAACACTTGTGTGTTGCTAAATTAATAATTTAATTTTATTAGAGTAATACTTTATGGAGTGGTAGAAGACTTACTTGGAACTTTCGGTATAAATGGAAAAGCCTGTTTACTACGTACAATATGCGAAGTTCATTCCCGGAAACTATCTCACTTTGGCGTATTCGGCGAAATAACGAAGCTGTTTTTAACGTAAGCCTAATTTAATAGCATCTATCTATCGCTATGATAATATAATTATATGAATTAATATTTTTAATTAGTGCAACTAATTCACCATTTGCTGAACTTATTCCGGAATATGTGCGCGCACAGGAGATTGGAGAAGGTCGGAAAGCTCCCGGTGAATGTTTTCCCTATTATAAAGAGTGTCCAAAGAGCATATTTAGAGAAACGCAAAAGGATAAATACAGGTAATTATAGCGAATTTAGCAAATTAATCAAATTCGGTGGTGGCTTATCACATTTTTAGTAGCATTGGAAAATACAGTAATAACAGATAAGGGATTTTTAAACCCAAAAATAGTCTGACCCATGATAGGAAAAAAAAGATATATAAATGTACTTTATATTTATTATATTTTATTTTGACTGATAAAAACACAATGCCCAATGACAATAAGAATTATTTTCTTTCCGAAAAAAATGTAATGGGAATTACAATTGAAATAGGAATGAAGAGTTATAGAAAATTAAAAAATACTTTATCTAAGTTAATAAATTATTATTTATTAAAGCAAATATATACATATTTATATTAAATTATAATTATTGATAGTTATCTATGCATCGAGAATAGTTTATTTTTCTACTACTAATTAAGGCAATTAAAAATAAACAAAGATTAATCTCTCAACGCAAAGGAATGTAAAAAATTTTCGTCTTAAGCGAATACAAACAAACTGGATGGTTTACCCACGCGGGAACATGTCACATAAATTATCTTGAGAGTTGCACTGAAAAAATAAAATGATACGTATAGCAGTCACTGCTACGATCGAGACACAAATAAGACCTAAAAAATTAACGATTTTTTCCCTACTCCGTAATATATACTATACCAATAAGCGAAAGCAAACACTGAATTAATATTTAGTAGACACTGTATGCAAATTCTAACAAACAATTTTTCGTGCGAATTTTTCCTCGCTGTATGCATTGTAAACTTTGTAACAGAATTTATGGCAAGACTAAGTATGCAGTTATTCTCCATGAAAGATGTCCAGCAATAGAATAAACAATCAATCGCAATTAAGAATATCTTCCATGTTAATCCTTTTTTTTCCACAGTTGTTCCCTTAAATTTATTTCTTCATGCATAAGTATTTTACATATCTGTATGTATACACAAGTTGTCAAAATTTTGCATATCCCATGAGCTGGCCATTGGTTAAAAAATGCATTACACGATTAAGGTCAGATAGTTAATATAGCCCCCGAAAAGATACAATACATTATTTTTAACAGTTATATTATAAAAAAAATTTTAAATGAAACTATCTTCTTTGTTATATTATACCTTGAAGAAAGAGTATATACTGCGAGATATTATACGCAAAGCAAATATGGTTGTACAGCAAGAAGTTTGGCAACGTATTATTCACTTGAGGGCTTTTAAATACATACCTAGAAGACGGTCGTAGATAACGAATTAGTTCTAAAATTACTTATAAAATTTACTAACGGTTTGAAAAATGCTAATTTAAAACGGGAAAAACAATCATCTTTCACACTCGCAATTCTTATAGTATAAAACTGTATAAAATGTTTTATTTTTGTTGGTTCCGACAAATATGCAGCTTCTTGGGGATAAAGAAATTTCATATCGATATCTCAAACACTGAGGAACTCGTTTGCGCATATAGATGGTCGCACAGATAGACGAATATGACTAAATCGACTCAGCTCGTCACTCCGATAATATTGTATATAGCGGGTGATCTAAGTAGAGTACTCTTTTCAATAGATTTTTTTGACAGATCATGCGTGAGTCGTGTCAAGCTGTCATGTTATTTTGGTTTAGAATTGCTTGGCATTTCATCATTGAACTTATGCCTGAACAACATTTACGTTTATTACTCTATAAAGAATGCTGGAACCCAGTATTAATTATTGGATAATATTTGACCGAATAGACCACGTCCAGCTTGCTGAACTATCTAACTTGATAGTTTTTATTCGGTAGTTCCCTTCACTAGTTGCTACCTTCACCAATTTGGGTTAACCATGGGTGCGTTCGAGATGGCAATCACGACAGCGGTGTTCCATGTTTGTCAAAGTATCCCGTTCTGCGTAAAATTTCGGTACTTGCAACAGCATCATCAACAGCATTCTACTTTCGCTTTTTGCACGCAATTTATGCAAATAATTGGCAACAATAAATTTTTGTCTGCACATCAGCAGAGTATCAGCAAATATGCAACACTGTAGCTGTACTGCTGCAATTATTACGTAGCTCGAATGCACCTCACTTTAATCATCGTAAAGGGAGTGTAGAAAACTATCAGAAAATGCTTATTCAATGGAACTGGAGACAAGTTTTATAAATGTATATAAAAATAATAGTTATATTAAAAACAATAATCAACAAGTCGGATGTAACCGAACATTTTATACTCTCGCAAAGTCAAATGGTATACTCGTTTGAGATTTCTTTGTGGATTGACTGATATTTTCGGTAGAAGGTCAACTATAAACACTGGGGTCCACATATTTAGTACTTAGGGGCTTGAACAGTTTTGGTTCGACTTAGACAATTTTTGGTCACAAGGTGGCATACTTTAAACGTATTATTCACGCAAAGTTTTACCCCGATATAATCATTGTTGCTTGATATGCATAGTGGAAAGTGAAAGAATCAGATGGAATTGAAAATGTGTTATATGGGAAATAGGAGTGGTTGTCGATTTCGCCCATTTTCGCACTATAATATAGAGATATGAGAAGAATGTTATGTACCGAATTTGGTTGAAATCGGTTAAGCAGATCTCAAGATATGAGTTTTCACCTAAAAGTGGGCTGTGCCACGCCCACTGCCTAATTTTGAACGCGGTTCCTATAAAGTCATCTCATACCATCTCAGAGATAAAATTTAATGTCTCTGGCGTGTTTAGTGCTTGATTTATCGCGCTTTTAGTAGTTTTTAACAGTACCGTTATATGGGGAGTGGGCGGAGTCGCCACCCGATTTCAACTGTTTTCACACTGTAGGTAGAGGTTCTAAAAACATTTGCTTCCAGTGAATTTTGTTATTATAGCATTAGCGGTTTAGGAGATATGCACATTAAACTTATTATGAGCAGGACCACACCCACTTAAAAAAAATTTTAACTGAAGATGCCCCTCCCTAATGTGAGCTTAGTTATGGCAATTTATTTGTTTTTGATTAATGGCGTTTTGTGGGCGTGGCAGTAGTCCGATTACGCCCATCTGCAATACCAACCGTCTCACGGTACCAAGAAACATGTCTACCAAGTTTCATAAAGATATCTCAATTTTTACTCTAGTTAGAGCTTGCACGGACGGACGGACAGACAGTCACCCGGATTTCAACTCGTCTCTTCATCCTGATCATTTATATATAATATTATATATATAACCCTATATCTAAGTCGATTAGTTTTAGGTGGTACAAACAACCGTTAGGTGTACAAAACTATTATACTCTGTAGCAACAGGTTGCGAGAGTATAAAAACAACTAACTTTAGTAAAAATCCGTCCGTCCATTTATAAAATATTCAAATATTTTGCCAGTATTGCTATTGAGTATGATGTTACAGTGTTGCTTAAGCTAATTTTAAACTCCTTACAAAAATTTATACTTACAATATATTATAGGAAAAACTGGGTCTACAATTATCTCTTGATTTATCTTACAATGATAAATTTTATTTTATTTTTCAGAAGAATTATTATGACTTGTAATACAAAATTCTGTTACAATAGTTAATGCTTCTAAACGCCTGGGAGGCGGAAATGTACTGATGTACTACATGATTTTAACCTTCTGCTAAAAGGTGGATGGGTCTTTCATAGGGTACTGTACGTTTCTTCCTCCTACTTCCTGAGACGCTTACTAGAAGCTATTCGGGGTACCTCATCCAACCCTTCTTTTTTCACAACACGGGCTTGGGACCGGCTAATTGCCGGAGTTAAAGTTGGTGGTAGTAGGGTTTCCTCGGTGAGTATATCCACGACTGGTGATTTCAGTACAAATTTGAAGAATGAGAAATTTGCTCTACTTACTGAAATAAAAAATATACCAAGATGTTACGATCGACGCAGTTTTTACAATATATACATTTAAAATTTAGAAATGTTTACTTATTTTAGTTACCATCAAATATTAGATACATTTATTAACTGTGGTTTGATGAAGTTGGCATCTTCGCCTTGATGGAGTATTTGAAGCTCAAAGAAATTTAGCGATTTGAATATAAATTGTTCTTAGTTTTTGAGATGTGTATATCATCTGAATGATTGCAGTTATTTGGGTATTTTAATACGCAAACTTAAATAATAATATATAGCAGGTTATCTTGTTAAACATTATCATTTCTTTATTTATTATTAAGTTAAGTATAAAGACGCGATTTTAATACCCTTCATTGAATCCATATGTAAAAAGTTTCATTTTCATTGTGTTTTCATAAAACCAACCACACACTCTTATTTAATAATCATCATAATAAAATATGATAAACTTTTTTACTTTACAGTGATTCACAAACGGACGATTATAATGAAGAACGAGAAAATGAGGTTATCGAAGAAGAAGTCCATGATAAATTATTCAAATTCTCAACTGCGAAGCAAACTGAAAATCAGCAAAAAAGGAAAAAGATATTTAGCATGTGAGAACTACTAGTAAAGAAAAAATTTAAACACAATATACATAAATAGAAAAAGCTGTGAATAGAATTTTTTCAAACCGTTGTGTTTTCGTGAAATTAAATAACTTACAATAATGTTCTATAAAAGTCATTTTTAGCAATTTGCTCATCAATCTAAGTCGAATTTATAATTTATTGTTATTCTATACTCATAATATATTTATTTAAATGTAACTATAGTATTTATTGTTCTTATACACATATTGTGTAATTGTATATAATAAAAGCAAGTAACTACGTTAATATTGTAAAAATTGTCTACATTTCAAAACGAGTAAACGTAATTTTGACACACTTTTTAGAATAGAAAAAATCTTCATTAATTAGAGATGTATTAGGAACAAGTTGTGCTCTACATAAAATATGAGCATCAAGACCAACGATTCAAATAACTGGATCTTTTATATACAAGAAACTGGTATGTGTTTGTCATGTTTCTGTATCATATATTGAAAACTGACGAGTTCAAATATTAAATTATGAGTAAGTCCATTACTCTTATTAAATAACAGATCATACGTCCGTAGGATAAGTGCGAAAAAAAAGAAAGTATTGACAAAACTCGATTTTACTATTCAAATAGCTGGATTCGAAGGCGATGCAAAGAGTATAGCGATTTTCCAACTTTTCGATACCACATTTGGGTTTGGGTAGGTGGTTAAGCAATGCGAAGCCCAATTTATTGAATTTTTGTACATAGCCTTCGCGTACTCAAATAAAGACACTACAATTTAATGTCTTTATAATGTCTGCTCGTGCACCTTCAATTTGCGATCGTTTAAAACTAGTTTGTGGATTTTAAAGTCTGCAATCCACTTCTCTACCATTTGTCTCGATGGAGCAGAGTCCGAATAATATTTATTCAGCCATTGTTTGGTTTTCACTGTATTTTTTTTATCAAAAAGCAATGCTTTATCAACACATGAAATTTACTTTTTAAATTTTTTTTTCAATAACAAAAGTTGCTGACTCAAAATGCAATAACAGACGAATCAAAAGTCAGACTGCTGTCAAATTTATACACATATCGTTTGACGGTTAGTACTAATTAAAAATCATATGGAAAAAATCTTGTAACGCCATCTAACTGTTAGTATATCAGAAAATCTACGAATCATGTAAGTATAGTAGGATTTTCGATATAATGTGTAGTTGTAAACTTTATTATTTCCTACTAAGGCGCTGCTTCAATACAAAGCTATAATACATAGGCATGCACATAGATCCAATAAAACAAAGTCTCAATAACGTATTAAGCACACTGTGTCATATGTTCATATTTTATGTGTTTAAATAATCAAGTTTAAAAATTCATTTAATATATTAGCAATATATGTATGTAATTACATATTTTGTAATTAATTCCTGAATGGGAAATCTAGAATATGTTGCCTACTAAGTCTAATAGTTTCACTGCTGTCATCTAATAACATGACTGCCAAAAGGTTGTCACAATAACTGATCCTGCGTAAATATGCTGAACTGAATTTCTTTATCTCAGTTATAACAAAAGGTATGTTATGATCTGAATTGAACTTCAACTGGAGTCTGGCTGGAGGACAATAGAGCAGTGACATCAGCATAAGTAGCAATTAAAACATTTTCTGTTTCAGGCATGTCAGATGTGAAAATGGTGTAAAGTATAGGACTAACTACGCGGACCTGTGGTACTCTAGATATAATATACAAAAATAATATCCTCTCAAGTAAATGATATTTGAATAGTTGATTATAATATTATTTAATTCATACCCTAGCAACTCCAGGTCGGATCTACTAGTGTTATATATTGTATTTTTTAATGTAGAGGGAGACATAGTGAGGATAATGATCAGTACATGCTTAAGGTACATATGGATTTCAATATTATTTTATATACGTACATATATGTACGTCTAGTATGTATATTTCACTTCATTAAAATTTTATGAATTATTAAAGATGAACTATGTATTACAGGTAGGCGTACTTTTTTTGAATCTCATAAACTATATTAAGGCTATCATCTACTTTTAAATTGAGTATATGTACTTTTTACTGTATTTATTGATTAATTTTCGTATATTCTTCTTTAATCTTAAAGTTTTGAAGTCATTAAAGGAAATCTTGTAAGTATATGGTAAATATATTGATATTTCTGTAACATGTTGTAACAGAGTATAATAGTTTTGTTCACCTAACGGTAGTTTGTAACGCTAAACAGTAATCAATATAGGTGTATGATATTAGTATGCTAAGTATATCAAAGTAATCATAATGAAGACACGAATTGCATTCCGGATGACTAACTTGAGTAAAAATTAAGATAACTTGTTAAACCTCGGTACAAGTTAGAAGGTTCATACTGCAGATGGGTGGATTAATCCCACGCCCACAAAATGCCGTTAATCAAAAAGGCCTATAACTAAGGTACATGTTAGGATACAAAACTTTGATTTTATACAGGACCTCGAAGTAGGGAGGACATCTGTGGTTTAAAAATTTTCAAATGATGGACGTGACCCCGCCTAGTAATATTTTTCATGTTCGTATTTCACAAACCACTAAATCTGTGTGAAAATGGAATGAACGGATGTAATCGGTGTCCGGAAATCTTTATATCGGTTATGCTGAAAACATCTAAAAGTGCTTTAATTCTCTAAAGAAAAAAGTCAGAAGCATTAAATTTAACAGTTAGGATGGCACGGAGGGGTTTTATCGAATTGGAGAGTTGACGTGGCACCGCCCACTTTTAGGAGAAATACTATATCCCAGGAACTACCCTACTAATTTCAAACAATTTCGATAAATAACGTTATCCTGACATCTCATAATACAGGAAGAAAATCAGCGAAATAAGACCATAACCACCTCTACTACACATATAAATTCTATCTGATTCTTCACTTCACAGTATATAAATAAATCACAAATGAAGGCCCCCTGATAACGAATATGTAGATCTTAGTGTATATGACTGACTCTTTTGGCCAATGAATTCAGAGAGCATCTACTGTTTCTGTGCCCTCGTGTCAATAATGGATAAAATTGGGTCAATAAATCCCATAGCCATCATCATCATATATCCGGTTAGTTTGCGCATACCAGAAGCAAATGTGCACGCGGAAAATTCGAGGAATATACTCTTAAATATTTATAAATATTATTTAACTTAAATAAATATTTATTATATTTTCATATTTCCCGAAACGAAAAATTGTATATGCCGGAAATCTCAGAAAAAGAAAATGTAAAACCTTCTTCAGCAACAGACGAGGTGAGAAAACGTCGGTTTATTATTGAAATATTTCATAATTGACTAATTTAGGGTATTCAAAGGTGTCATATTGTCTTATTTTTTATGACAAAAATTGCTGTATCTGCTTACTTTTTTTATACTCTCGCAAAGTTGTTATAATAGTTTTGTTCACCTAAGGGTTGTTTGTATCACCTAAAACTAATCGAGTTAGATATAGGATTTTGTATATATAAATGAACACAATGAAGAGACGAGCTGATATCCGGGTAATTGTCTGTCCGTCCGTCCGTCCATCTGTGCAAGCTGTAACTTTAATAAAAATTTAGATATCTTTATGAAACTTAGTACACCTGTTTTTTAGTATCGTAAGACGGTGGGTATTGCAGACGGGTGTACTCGGACCACTGCCACGCCCACAAAACGCCATTCATCAAAACCAAATAAATTGCCATAACTAAGCTCCGCAATAAGATACAAGACTGTTATTCGATACACAGGATTACATTAGGGAGGGGCATCTGCAGTTTAAATTTTTTTTAAAAAGTGGGCGTGGGTCCGCCTCCTAATAGGTTGAATGTGCATATCTCCTAAACCACTTAAGCTATTGTATAATAACAAAATTTACTGGGAACAAATGTTTTCAGAATCTCTAACGACGGTGTCAAAATGGGTGACAACCCCGCCCATTCTCCATATAACGGTACTGTTAAAAACTACTAAAAGCGCGATAAATCAAGCACTACACCCGCCAGAGAGACTTTATCTCTGGGATGGTATGAGATGACATTATAGGAACCGCGTTCAAAATTAGACAGTGGGCGTCGCACCGGCCACTTTTAGGTGAAAACCCATATCTTGGTATCTGCTTAACCGATTTCAACCAAATTCGGTACATAACATTCATCTTATATTTCTATGCTTTAGTGTGAAAACAATTTTAAATTCCATCTGATTCTTTTACTTTCCAGTATGCAAATGTAGCACCAATGAATGTATCGGGATAAAATTTGCATGAATAGTGCTTTTGAGTTGTGCGACCTTATTATTAAAACTTTTTCTTAATCGGATTAAAACTATTCAACCCACCATACATTGAATATGTGGATCCCAGTTACTACAGCGAAGATTTTATCGCAAATATTCGTAAATCTGTGAGATATGTATGTCAAAAATGGGTTGCTTCGGGTCAATAATTCCTTTAGCCCTAATATACCTTATATAATGATTTTCGAACTACCGGCTGATTTTATAACTCATATTTCAGCAAATAAGTAAGATACCTTAGCAAAATTTACTGATAGTATAATATTGGATATACTATAGTTTAGTGCCGAAAATATGTGAAATTGGTTCACAAGTATGAAATTTTGCGAAATGTGTTTTTCTATGAGGAGTTGGAGGATAGCAGCGGATTGAATAGCTCTGCAGTAGTGAAAGACAGTTTGATGACGCTGATAGAAAGCGATTTACAATGGAGAAACTAATAATTAAATATAAGTAATTTTAGTACTTATTACATTTTTAGTTTACATTTATTATGAAGTTATTTTTTGTTGTTGTTCTTTTATGTTTTAAATAAAGTTTTTATGTTACTATAAATTTTGTTGAGATATTAATTGTTCTTACTACCTTTTGAAGTATATATATGAAAATACAATAAAACCAATTTTGCAATATGTAGTTGGATTTAATTAAGTAAAATGACCACGCATTTTTATTAACTTATATGATTAAAGAAAATATGCATAAAGCATTTTAATTTTGTATATAATGAGACAAGCAATTTATCCCAATATTTCCATGATGTTAAGGAAAATTGAGGCATCGAAACTTCATTGCTGTTTCCATTACCTATTTCGAAATTTATTTATACAAGTATGTTGTGAAGAATACAACACATCATAATCCAGTCATTGCATTCCATCTTTTTTGAGGTTGAAAGTATTCTAAATTTAAGCTCCTTCAAACTACCGAACTTCTCTTTCAAAATACCAAAAAAATTCTCAATTCGTACGCGGAATTTGTAAAATACGCATTAAATAATTCCCTTTCTTCTTTTGTATGTTTAACGCTGTTTTTCCGGAAGGGCGTTATTAAATGGTTTCAGTGGATAGGTACTATCTCCCGCGACCCACTGTGATGTCGATAAGAATCGTTCCGGATTTTGCGAGTGAACAATTTGAAAATATTTTCGCGTCATGTACACTGTATGGGTAGCCAATCATTACCTGCTTAATGCGCAATGTCGCAATGCTTTTATTTTTACAGAATATTGGCGTTTACGCGAATAGTAAATTTCATGCTGCATAACTGGAGCTTCGGTTATTTTTATTTCAGAACCATCGATATAGCCTACACACCCTGGTATTTCTTTCGCCGTTGCGGACGCAATTTCTCTTTCATTAAGCCAATATAAAAACTTATTTTTTAATCGCTATATGGCTTTAAAAATTTGTTGGGTTACATTTTTAATAGTGCCTCCATCGCCGGAAAATCCCAACCCATACAGCACTACATTGAGTTGCAATTCTATTGGAAGTTGTGTAGCACTTAAACTTATTTTGAAAACAGCGTCGTTCTAACATACGTACGCATTCCTCCGGGCGAACACGAAGTATCTGGTTGATTCTGCTTTCGCCAAAATTCCTTAGCATATTTCGCTGCCAACTGGAACATTTTGGTAAGCCGAAATGAAAGCTTCTTTTGTTGCTCAGCAAACAGCTCATGCTGATTAAAAAACTTTCAATAGCTTCGTCTTCTTCCGCACCTGCCAAAGTGTAAATACAATATTTGTATTGAATGAAGAAATGTATGCAAGTACTTGATTCAACTCCTAATAAATTCAATGCAGGATTTTTACAGCTATAATTTTATTTTTGTCACTTTCTCGTGGAATTTTTGTATTATTAATTTTTCCCTTTCAGCTGATGAAGTGTAAAAATATTACACAATATGACATACAACGAATAAAAGGTGCTTACAATCGTATATTTTAAGACTATTGAAATACGATATAAGACATAAGAATTACCAGTGACAGTTCAATATTACTAAGAAGGGACCACGATCGAGTACTTTCAAGATGTAAATTTTCATCTCCTTCATTCAAATAATAAACTTCCTCTTCGATTAAACTGATTGAACGATCAAATCGCGTTGCCAAAACGATTCTATACAGATTTTTAGTAATTTTTTATTTCTGTTAAAAATAATTTTCCATATAGGGCCCAAAATATTATATAAAACCTTTTTATCCGAAAATTTTGCTTCTAATGCGTGCACTATTAAAATTCAGCTTGATTTGGAGTTCCTTAAAATAGCGGGTTACAAATACCCCGTCCCTACCAAGACTTCTGTTAGTTTTTCATTACTATCCACAACTGCTTGCAGTGGGATTCAATTTCATAAAACGGTGAAAATATTCAGAGGATGCCGTCAGCAGAACCAGAAGTAACCAACTATCGCGCAACAAAAATCTTGCAGGCACCAACAAGAATTCAGGTATCAGAAAACGCACGGGCAGCGAAGTAAAGTGGAATCGAAGGTAAGAAAATCAATATAGTGCTCTTAACATTCATGAAACCAAAATACATACATACGTAGAATTATTATTCTGATCAACATAAAAGCTCTAAGGGCCTAGTTGTTGTCATAAAAGGTATAGTTCTAAAAGCAGACTCTAATGAAATCAAAGAAACTCTTAACTAATATAGTTATGACA